TACCACAAAGATACAAATGTAGGGATCCGAAGGTGTACGTGCACCCCAATGTTTATAGCAGCAATGTCCACAATAGGCAAACTGTGGAAAGAGCCAAGATGTCCACTGACAGATGAATGGATAAAGAAGACATGGTATATTATACAATGTGATATTACGCAGCCATCAAAAGGAATGAAATCTTGCCGTTTGCAACAATGTGGATGGAACTGGAGGGTGTTATGCTGAGCGAAGTAAGTCAATCAGAGAAAGACAGGTATCATATGACCTCACTGATATGAGGAATTCTTAATCTCAGGAAACAAACTGAGGGTTGCTAGAGTGGTGGGGGGTGGGAGGGATGGGGTGGCTGGGTGATAGACATTGGGGAGGTTATTTGCTATGGTGAGTGCTGTGAATTGCACAAGACTGATGAATCACAGATCTGTACCTGTGAAACAAATAATACAATATATGCTAAAAAAAAAAAAAAGAAGATAGCAGGAGGGGAAGAATGAAGGGGGGGAATCAGAGGGGGAGATAAACCATGAGAGACGATAGACTCTGAAAAAGAAACTGAGGGTTCTAGATGGGAGGGGGCTGGGAGGATGGGTTAGCCTGGTGATGGGTATTAAAGAGGGCACGTTCTGCATGGAGCATTGGGTGTTATACACAAACAATGAATCATGGAAGGCTACATCAAAAACTAATGATGTAATGTATGGTGATTAACATAACATAATAAAAAAAATTGGAAAAAGAAAAAAAAAGAAATGGAAAAACATCCCATGCCCATGGATTGGAAAAACAAATACTGTTAAAATGTCTATGCTACCCACATCAATCTATATAGGCAATGCAATTGTTATCAAAATACCATCAACTTTTTTCACAGAGGTGGAACAAACAATTCTAAAAGTTGTGTGGAACCAGAAAAGACGACAAATAGCCAAAGGAACATTGAAAAAGAAAACCAAAGCTGGTGACATCACAATTCTGGACTTCAAGTTCTATTACAAAGCTGTAATCATCAAGACAGTATGGTCCTGGCAAAAAAGCAGACACACAGATCAATGGAACAGAATAGAGAGTCCAGAAATGGACCCTCAACTCTATGGTCAACTCATCTTTGACAAAACAGGAAAGAATATCCAGTGGAAAAAAAGACAGTCTCTTCAACAAATGGTGTTGGGAAAATAGGACAGCCACATGCAGAAGAATGAAACTGGAACAGTTTTTTACACCACCCACAAAAATAAATTCAAAATGGAAGAAAGACCTAAATGTGAGACAGTAATCCATCAGAATCCTAAAGGAGAACACAGGCAGCAACCTCTGTGACCTTGGCCGCAGCAACTTCTTGCTAGACAGGTCTCCAAAGGCAAGGGAAACAAAGGTAAAAATGAAAATTGGGACTTCATCAAGATAAAAAGCTTTTGCATAGCAAAGGAAACAAAACCAAAAGACAACAGACAGAATGGAAAAGATATTTGCAAATTTCTTGTCAGATAAAGGGCTAGTATCCAAAACCTATAAAGAACTTATCAAATTCAACACCTGAAGAATAAATAATCCAATCAAGAAATGGGGAGTATAAATCTTCTGCAAAGAATACATCAAAATCGCCAATAGACACATGAAAAAGTGTTCAACGTCACTGGGCATCAGTGAAATACAAATCGAAACCACAATGAGATACCACCGAACACCAGGCAGGATGGCTAAAATTAACGAGTCAGGAAACGACAGATGTTGGCAAAGATGTGGAGAAAGAGGAACTCTCCTACACTGTTGGTGGGAATGCAAACTGGTGTAGCCACTCTGGAAAATGGTATGGAGGGCCCTCAAAAAGTTGAAAATGGAGCTACCTACAACCCAGCAATTACACTACTAGGTACCTACCCCAAAGATAGAAATATTGTGATCCAAAGGGGTACCTGCACCCCAATGTTTATAGCAGCAATGTCCACAAAAGCCAAACTATGGAAAGAACCCAGATGTCCACTGACAGATGAATGCAGAAAGATGTGGTATATATAAAAAATGGAATACTACTCAGCCATCGAAAAAAAAAGAAATCTTGCCATTTGCAACGACATGGATGGAACTAGAGGGTATTATGCTAAGCGAAATAAGTCAGAGAAAGACAAATACCATATGATTTCACTCATATGTGGAATTTAAGAAACAAGGCAGATGAACATAGGGGAAGGGAAGGAAAAATAAAATAAGATAAAAACAGAGAGGGTAGCAAACCATAATAGACTTAACTACAGGGAACAAACTGAGGGTTGTTGGAGGGGAGGTTAGTGGTGGGATGGAGTAATTGGGGGATGGGCATTAAGGAGGGCACTTGATGTAACGAGCACTGTTATATGCAACTGATGAATCACTAAATTCTACCCCTGAAACTAATACACCATATGTTAACTAAATTGAATTTAAATTTAAAAATTAAAAAAAAATCAAAGGCTGACCTTTCTATCATTTTTTATGGTGATAAAAACTAATTAGCACTACTCATATGAAAAAAAGTAAAGCTGGTGCAAAAATATTATAGAATCTATTTTGAAGCTCAATGTGTCTGTTTTCTTCTGTTACTTTTGCATTCTATCAGCAGATAGGCATAAAGCACTGATTTTAAATATGACCATTCTGTAAAAAAACCAACGTTGGAGGCTTCAAACTCTACTAAGGAACTGTCGTAACTACAAAGCTTAGTGATAACTGAATTAACAGAAGTTCAACATATTTATAAGCCAGAATTTAGATACATTCTTGCTGTAACAGTTGTGGAGACTCAATTTATAAATATTTACTACACAAATACTATATTCAAGAAAGATATAAAATGATTAGGAAAAGGTGGCTGCCTATAACATAATAAAGTGAGGCAAATGCACAAATATACAACTAAGGCAGAAAATGTCATTATTAGGATATAAATAACAGCCCACAGAACATGGAAAGTGATCTAATTCAATAAAAGAGTTTACAGCTATTAATTCAGAGGAGACACAGCATGGTAGAAAGACTTTTGAGTTGGATGGTCATGCATCTAAATCCTGTTCCAGTCACATTTTAGTTGTTTAAACAAAATAGTGATTGGCTTTCTGAGTAAATATAACTCCTCTGTGACTCAAGGGTTTTTGACTATATACGTTTGACCACAATATTTTGTTATTTCAAAATAGGAACAATCATTTAAATCTATTTACTTTTTAAGTAACAGTATAATTTTTCTTAAATTCTAGATAATTCTGATACAGTTTTAAATAATTAAAATACTTGAAAATGCTGGTAGTACTCCTTAGCAATTAAATTCTAGACTTCTTATGTAATCAATAACTTTTTTTTAAATAATCAATACCTTTAATGACTTACCTTTAACAGTTGACAAGGTGTCTGCCCAAAATTATTAATCATCCCTTCTAAGGCTTTTCTTTCCTTCTCATCTGTTAAGGCATCCAGATCCACAGCTCCTAAAACAAGGAGAAGTAGTCAACTCACTACAGAGTGAAAACTAAGCAAGTCACATAACTGAATATAGTGGAGACTGAATGTGTATTTTCAACAAAATATCATTCTGTTCTTCAGTCTGTAAGAATATTGTGAGACAGACAATTTTGTATACGATTTTGTTTATTTTATTTTTTAAAGATTTTATTTATTTATTTGACAGAGAGAGACACAGCGAGAGAGGGTACTGAAGTAGGGGGAGTGGGAGAGGGAGAAGCAGGCTTCCCACGGAGCAGGGAGCCCGATGCGGGGCATGATCCGAGGACACTGGGACCATGACCTGAGCAGAAGGCAGACGCTTAACGACTGAGCCACCCAGGCGCCCTTTATTTATTTATTTATTTATTTAAGAGAGCAAGAGAGCACATGAGAACATGAGTGGAGTCGGGGGCAGAAAAGGAGCAGAGGGAGAGGGACAAGCTGACTCCACGCTGAGTGTGGAACCCAACTCAGGGCTTAATCCCACGAGCCTGAGATCATGACCTGAGCTGAAATGAAGAGTTGGACGCTTAACAATTGAGCCATCCAGGCACCCCAAGAGGCAATTTTTAAAAAAACAGTGACTTCAAACATTAAATATGTCTAAAAATAAATTCCATCCATTATTTAGAACAAAAATATTTTAAACAAAAGTTAACTGATAGTACATAAAAGTTTCTCTTGAAAATGTACAAACTATTTCACAGTACACCTAATTGTTGTCTTCATGATAATCAAGCTGAAACAAGTGTAATAACCACACAAAATACTGTTAAGTTACTGCTTATCTAACAAATACTGGGAAAGGTGATATTCTGGTTAACTGATTATACCCAACCGTACATGATATGGTTAGTAAGTGGCCAAACTAGCTAAGCTGGATTTCAAAGCCTATGCTCATAACCACCATGCATATTACCTCTCTACAGAACTATTATCAAATGAATATGGCAACGCAAAAACATACTTGTCTGTTTACCAAAAGGCATGTGGACTCTGCTCAAGTTCACATAAATTCACACTATTCACAATCTTTACTACTGAAGGATTAGAAAAAAACTACTTCTTAAGGCTTTCAAAGCCTTCAGAAAATGTTCTTGATCCCGAGCTAAATATTAGAATGATATCACCTTATTTTACCATTTGAAGAGTTTGTTATTTATAATATTAAAGGTCTTCTTTGCACTTATTGTAGGACCTGACTGAATAGGACACTAAGGGCCAGTAATCAAAAACTTTTATGCCACCAATAACTGACATTTATAATTAGATTTGCATATATACTTTTTTTTTAATCCCCTTTCAGTCTTCTCTGCACCTACCTCCCCTCTGGCAACCATTAGTTTGTTCTCTGGATTTAAGAGTCTGTCTTTTGGGGCGCCTGGGTGGCTCAGTCATTGGGCGTCTGCCTTTGGCTCAGGTCATGATCCCAGGGTCTTGGGATCGAGCCTGGCATTGGGCTCCCTGCTCAGCAGGAAGCCTGCTTCTCCCTCTCCCACTCCCCCTGCTTGTGTTCCTGCTCTCTCTCTCTGTCAAATAAATAAATAAAATCTTAAAAAGAAAAAAAATAAAAGTCTGTTTTTTGTTTTTTCTTTCTTCGTTTGTTTTGTTAGAACTTATTTACATCATTTTTAAATTCTAACAGTTATTTTTTTTTAAGTTTTACTTAAATTCCAGTTAACACAGTATAATATTAGTTTCAGGTATACAACATAGTAATTCATCAATTCCATACATGACCTGTTGCTCATCAAGACAAGTGCACTACTTAATCCCCATCATCTATTTAACTCCTCCCCCACCCCCCACCACAATCATCAGTTTGTTCTCTATAGTTAAGAGTCTACTTCTTGGTTTGTCTTTTTTCTCCTCCTTTACTCATTTGTTTTGTTTCTTAAATTCCACATATGAGTGAAATCATATGGTATTTGTCTTTCTCTGATTTATGTCTCTTAGCATTACAGCCTCTAGGTCCATCCATGCTGTCACAAATGACAGGATCACATTCTTTTTTATGGCTGAGTAATGTTCCATTGTGTGTGTGTGTGTGTGTGTGTGTGTGTGTGTGTGTGTGTGTATCTCACATCTTCTTTATCCATTCATCTTTCAATGGACACTGGTTGCTTCCGTATCTTGACTACTGTAAATAATGCTGCCATAAACAAAGGGATACACAGATCTTTTCAAATTACTGTTTTCATATTCTTGGGGTAAATGTCCAGTAGTGGAATTACTGGATCACAGCATACTTCTATTTTTAATTTTTTGAAGAACTTCCATACTGTTTTTCACAGCGGCTGCACTAAGTGTACAAGGGTTCTTTTTTCTCCATATCCTTGCTAACACTTGTTATTTCTTATGTTTTTATTTTAGCCATTCTGACAGGCATAAGGTGATTTCTCACTGTGGTTTTGATTTGCATTTCCCCAATGATGAATGATGCTGAGCATCTTTGCACGTGTCTGTTGGTCATCTGTACGTCTTCTTTGGAAGAATGTCTCTCCAGATCCTCTGGCCATTTTTAAAATCGGATTGTTTTTTTGGTGTTGAGTTGTATAAATTCTTTATATATTTTGGATATTAACCCCTTATTGTATGTATCACTTGCAAATATCTTCTCCCACTGAGTAGGTTGCCTTTTTGTTTTGTTGATGGTTTCCTTCACTGAAAAGTGAAGATTTGCATATATACTCTTAACTACTACTTAATAAAAAAAAACACATCAGTCTTTTAATATTTCAAATAGAAAAGATCATTAAAACTATTTTTAAATGTAGTCTTCTCATGACCAAAATATCATGTATAAACATCGATTAAATGTAAGATAAAACGTATATAGGCTTATACCTTCATAACTACAGTAATAGAAAACATTGAGTGCTTCCACTGCCGCTGGCCCCCTCTGTTTATAGCCAAAAATCAGATCTATCCATTCATGAAGATGAGCAGAAACATATTCAGACTCCTAGAAAAAGAACAAATAATATAAAGATACCTTCCAACTACAATGTAAATATTGGTCCTTTAAAAAGTGAGAGAAAAATTAAGCATTTCCACACACAAATCTTACCACTGTTAATAAAATTATCTCAAAATCATGTCAAACATTTAATCAGTATCTACCACATATTTTGGATATATTCTATCGAGTATAATGTAGACATATTTATTAATATTTATTTTTTTGAAGATTTTATTTATTTATTTAACAGAGAGAAACACAGCGGGAGAAGGAATACAAGCAGGGGGAGGGGTAGTGGGAGAAGCAGGTTTCCCGCTGAGCAGGGAGCCCAATGCGGGATTCGATCCCAGGACCCCGGGATCATGACCTGAGCTGAAGGCAGACACTTAACGACTAAGCCACCCAGGCACCCCATTTATTAATATTTAATAATACATATACACCTCTTAACTAATGGGTAAAGAAAATAACTCAAGTATTCTAATAGCCTAAATACCAACAACAAAATACTTAATAATGGCTATGGATATATATTTGCTGTGAAATTTCCACTGAAATAGCTATCTAGAAATTCAATTCAAAGAAACAAACCAGTTGGGATTGATTAAAGGTGGCTGAAAATCACTCCCTCCAACCTACCTGACCTGACACAACCCCACTAAGAAGGTGGACTGTGTGGAAGGCAGAGGCTTGAAGGACCTCCTGAAGCCTGTTAGTGGTGGTTTGAAAACAGTATGGGAATTGTTATTGGAGACAGTAGAAAAGGGGCTCAAGTTTAGTTACATCAAAGATAGAAAGAATACCTAATCAATTCATGAATCTGGGGATAGAGATTTTTTTTTTGTTTCTATTTTAATTCCAGTTGGTTAATATACAGTGTAATATTAGATTCTGGTATACAACATAGTGATTCAACATTTCCACACAATGGGTGGGGGGAGGGGTTAAATAGGTGATGGGGATTAAGGAGTGCATTTGTTGTGATGAGCACCTGGGTGTTATCTGGGGATGGAGATTTTCCTGCTAATTAGATCTTTTATCTGCATGTGATAAAGTCTGGAAGGAGTAAGATGAATTTAAAAAAAGAACTATTGGGCGCCTGGGTGGCTCAGTCATTAAGCGTCTGCCTTCAGCTCAGGTCATGATCCCAGGGTCCTGGGATGGAGTCCTGCATCGGGCTCCCTGCTCAGCAAGAAGCCTGCTTCTCCCTCTCCCACTCCCCCTGCTTGTGTTCCCTCTCTCCCTGTCTCTCTCTTTCTGTTGAAAAATAAGTAAAATCTTAAAAAAAAAAAAAAAAAAAAAGAACTATTCATGGGGCGCCTGGGTGGCTCAGTGGGTTGAGCATCTGCCTTCGGCTCAGGTCATGATCCTAGGGTCCTGCTCCAGTACTGGCTCCCTGCTCAGTGGGGAGCCTGCTGCTCTCTCTCCTCCCTGATCATGCTTCCTGTCGCTCTGTCTCTCTCTCTCAAATAAATAAATAAAAATCTTAAAAAAAAAAAAAAGAGCTATTTAGGTTTTAATCATACCTTTAAAAAAATATAAAGGAGCAGGTCTTGCTGGGTTCCAAATAAAATTATTTCTCATTCCCAGGATACTAGAGAGCAAAGACTCTCTAACTGAGAAATGGCCAAGGTCAATGATCAGAGTGTCACCAGTAAAATAACGGCCTCAGGCGAAAGTTTAGTTCAAGAGTGTGGTTGTGAAGCAATCTGCTGAGACTTCAAAGATTTAAGGTTGTGCTGCACAGACCCACTCAACTAGAAAATAGAACATCTTAAGAATTTTAATTTTTCCACAGTAGCCTCCCACTGGGCCCAAAGGAGATAAGAGGCTGTTTAGATTCTAAAGTAATGTGAAATGGTTTTTATCCAATAAAGTTGATGCATAAGAAACCCAGAAAAATTTAAAAGATATTGTATTAGTTCAGTTACTTCAGAGTGAAAGAGACAAACTTCGAAAAGGATGAGAGACCGTTGGCTTTCAATTTATTGTGGTTAGGTAAGAGGCTGACAAAGATACCCATGCACTTTTTTTTTTTAAATGTAAAAGAAACAATGACTCAAAGCAGGAAGCTAAGAGCCAAAGGGTAAAACAAAATAGCCACAGAGAATCACTCTTAGGGAATAGCACTGGGCCCTAATGATAGAACTGAAAGCATGTCCCTGCTGGAATTCTGAATTGTTATAAACCAGTTACTGCTAGGTACCTCTTGTTTTTCTTTCCCCTGCCTTTTTAAATTAAATTCTATGCCCAACATGGGGCTCAAACTCATGAACCAAGAGATCAAGAGTCACATGCTCTATGGACTGAGCTAGCCAGGCACCTCTTCTAATCTCCCTTTTGAATGAAGAGTGTCTATGACAGTTCTTCTGTCTCTGTCATACCACTGTTGTTATGTGGGGACAGATAACCTGTTTCTCTACTCCACAGTCTTCAGATGCAAGAGCAGACAAACCTGAGTAGTTTTATGCCCACATGGATTTAATTTAGATTACTAACAAGATTCTGGACTTCAGACCTCATGCCTTCATGAGGCATGGATCAGCAAACTACTTATTGCTTGTGGGCCAAATTTTACTAGCTCCAGATTTGTAGAGTAGTACAACAAAGCCACTTCCATTTTCTTTTGCATTATAATGGCAGAATTTTGACACAGGCCTTAAAGCCAGCGAAAATATTTACTACCTGGTCCTCTGCAGAAAAAGTTTGCAAGGGTACCAGGGTGGCTCAGTCGGTTAAGCGTCTGCCTTCGGCTCAGGTCATCCTGGGATCAAGCCCCGCATCCCTCTCCCACTCCCCCTGCTCATTGTGTTCCCTCTCTCGCTGTGTCTCTCTCTGTTAAATAAATTAAATCTTTAAAAAAAAAAAAAAAAGTTTGCAGATCCCTTACTTAAAGGTCCCTGACATGAGACTTTGGGAGGATCTTGAGAGGAAGTATGTACATTTTGCATGTAAGAGGAATGCAAATAATTTGTAGTCAGAGGGCAGACTGTATGTGGAGGATTAAAGATGGCTGCAAATTCTTTTTTGCAACCTCCCACCACTGAGAGATGGGTTTACCTTCCCTCCTCTTGAGTCTGCACTGATCCTATTACTGTATGACTCTGATAAGGTGACACAAGTGCTGTGACCGTTCACAGGCTTAAGCCTTAAGAAAGCATGGAAGCTTCTAATTTTGTACTCCTTCCTGAGCTGTAGACATGTACATGTCTGACTACCTAGCTAGAGAGACCACATGAAGAGGAGATATCCTGAGATTACATGGGAAGGAAGAAAAACCCAGCATTGCACTGTCTCACTCAATGCAGCCTCCAGACGACTCCAACCTCAACTGCTATGACTGCAAGGGCATGAGAACCTCAAGCAAGACGAGAACTGCTCAGTTGAGACCAGTTAATTCACAGAACTGTGAGAGATAATAAAATGACTAAATTTTTTTTAAAGATTTTATTTATATATTCATATGAGAGAGAGAGAGAGAGAGAGAGGCAGAGGGAGAAGCAGGCTCCCAAGGAGCAGGGAGCCCGTTGTGGGACCCAATCCCAGGACCCTGGGATCATGACCTGAGCCGAAGGCAGATGCCCAACCATCTGAACCACCCAGGCGCCCATGACTAAATTTTAAGCCACTAAATTTTGGATAGTTTATTGCACAGCAATACATAACTGAAACACAAGCTTCTAACATATTAATATAAGGAGCATGTCTTCCTAAAAGCCTGGACCCCTACACTTCATGTCATAGATAATACAGAGGAATGCGTCTGAGAAGTTCCTGGCTAGCTAATAAGTAACAGATTTTTTTCTGAGTTGCTTAATGTTTTTTCCAATTCCTTATTCATGCATAGTGTTACTGCACGATCTAATCCTGAATTTTATAAATTTGACATACTATATACTAATGACAAGGAACGTTTCCAAGTATTGGCCTAATTAGTTTCAGACTCTGAAACATTTCAGTTTAGATAGAGAACTAAGTGGACTATTATTGTAGGGGGGAAAAAAACGCATCATTTACAAAATGACACAGTATCAGTGTTTAACTCTCACTACTCTTTTAATCCCAAACTGGAAATTCAGCTAAAAACTAACATTTTTTTAAAGTGGAATTTAGGATTTAGCAGTCATATTAAAAACTTACTGAAATCCTTCAGAGAAGACAAAAATGTACTGAACCTTGTTAGATTTTTTTTTTTAAAGATTTTATTTCTTTATTTGAGAGAGAAAGAGAGCACAAGCATAAGCTGGGGGAGGGGAAAAGGAAGAGGGAGAGAGAGAGAATCTCAAGCAGATTCCACACTAAGCACGTAGCCTGATAAGGGGCTTGATCCCAGGACCCTGAGATCATGACCTGAGCTGAAATCAAGAGTTGGACACTTAACCGACCAAGCTACCTAGGAGCCCCTCATCCTTGTTAGATTTGAAACAAGTGGGAACTGCAAAACACCAAATGACACCAGCTTGGTGGTTGGAATAGTTTGAAATACAAAAGGCAGTTATCTTATAGAAGTGAATATATATATATATATATATATATATATATATATATAAATATATATATGTACTTTTTGCTATATATCCTTGGGACTATACCATATTCTTACTGTATCAGAAGATTCATAACCTCAAAATAAATTACTATATTATACTCTCTACAACGGTATACATAACAGATGACAAATTAATCTAGAAAAATAATTAAGAGCCAGATATATATTAATCTATTCTCTAGAAAACACATGCATCTCTATCTTAGTAATCTAATAAATAAACACAAAAATCTGAGGTGCCTGGGTGGCTCAGTCGGTTAAGCGGCTGCCTTCGGCTCAGATCATGATCCCAGCGTCCTGGGATAGAGCCCCGCACTGGGCTCCTTGCTCAGCAGAGAGCCTGCTTCTCCCTCTCCCTCTGCCTGCTGCTCTGCCTACTTGTGCTCCCTCTCTAATAAATAAATAAAATCATTAAAAATAAATAAAATAAATAAAATAAATAAATAAAATAAATAAATAAATAAATAAAAATAAACACAAAAGTCTTACCAGAGCTTTCCTATGTTTATAGATGAAATCTTCAGCTGACTTAGACCATTTGGGGAGAATGACATCATTTACTACTTCTTTGGAAACTTGTAGACAACCCAAGTTAAATTCTAAGACAAACAGAAGATAAATGCATCAAATCATTTTAGATTTAAATAAATCAAGTAAAACAAGTATAAGGGCACAATCCTTAGCAAAACTGAGGCTTCTTTTCTACTCTAAAAGGTGAGAGCCAAGTTCCCTTCTTGATCTAAGTTTACTGAACAGGTAAAAATAATTCTTATATTGAAATGCATTTTATCAGTTGATTAAAAAGGTAGATGAAAATAAAATACTTTCAAATTAGTTATTACAAAGTAAATCAGATTAATAATTGATTTTTGGTTGAGAAGTGGGGATGACCAAAATCTTAATCTAAACAAAAATGCAATATTCAGTATTATTCTTACATTAAAAATAATTAATATAGTCCTTCTAATGGTTAATTTACAAAATACAGCTCCTTAGCGCTTTTTGGTGTAACTTATACTTTAAATTCACTCAATGGAAGTATTGCATTTGTCATAATAAAAAATATATATTTGTATACCATTCTTCTAAGTAGATACTGATATCATAAAGATTTTCTCATATAGTTAAAATATAGTATTTTGACAAAATTGTCCCAAAGATGAGGTTTTCTTGTTTATATAGCATGGAAAGAGAAAAGTGTTAATATAAAAGACCTTCATGAAAGAAGCTGCCTTAAAATATCAGTGTGTCCCAAAGCTGAATAGAGAGGTTTGAATGTCATAAAATGACAGGATGCACAGGGCCTGTGGCTTTGTTAATGAAACTACTGTGTAACAGACATTGTTACCAACCTGATAGCCATCCCTCCTTATTTGGTAACAAAACCTTGATTTTATTCAAGTATCTATCCTTGTGCTTTATTTTATGCCTGTAGCAGGCTGACTGGTGTAAGGACAATGAGGAGAGGTTATAGGAAAGGATTTCTCACTCTTAAGAAATGACACAAAGAATTAACAATCCACTTCTTTCTAAGACACTACTGTATCTGTCTATGAAGACTAGAAATGCTTCAGTCATTTGTAACCATGAGAGGGAAGGAGCCAAGGACAAAGCCCAAACACTTAGAACAACAGAATGAAAATACAGACAGAACTTGGCTTTGATGATGTTGTTAAGCTACCTGAATACTACGATACCTTAGGATTTTCATTGTGGAAAATGCTAAAATTTTCCTGCCCAATTTTGAGTTGGTTTTATTAATATTTGTTTTACTAATTAATATTCATTGACATTCTAAGTAATGTACTTTGCTTTCTCCCACCTAACTCATTTCAAACAAAGCAATATACAATTAGAAAAGGAAGCCAGCAGGACAGCAGTGCAAGACAGCAACTTGCTCTAGCGAACATCAGAAATTGTCAAACTAAGAGTATCTTAACTTCTGTGTCCAAATTTAATCTGCTCATCCTCCTAGCCCAGACACCCTGCTTTGGAGGCTCCAGTTCTATGGCTAAGAGTCTAGGATCAGAGTCCGTCAATAGATTAATTTGATTCTCTGAAAGTGACCAATTTTATTTTATTTATTTATTTTTTAAAGATTATTTATTCATTTGAGACACAGAGATACAGAGAGAGAGAGAGCATGAGCAGGGGGAGAAGCAGGGAGAGAGGGAGAAGCAGGCTCCCTGCTGAGCCAGGAGCCCGATGAGGGGCTTGATCCCAGGATCCTGGGATCAGACCTGAGCTGAAGGCATACGCTTAACCATCTGAGCTACCCAGGTACCCCTGAAAGTGATCGATTTTAAATGCCTTACTCTGAGAAATCAGATGCCCTGCCTCCAACAGCACGTCCTAGAGTGTATGATCAGAGGACATAAAGCCCTGGATATGCTCTCCCTAGTATGGCAAACAACTCTACTGAAGAAGCAAAGGGTCAGACATTAATACTTCATACTAGGGGAGGAAAAAGAAGTTGGTAATGGTCCACTGACACTGTAATTTCCCTTAAGAACCCTGGTATTAACAGTCTTGTCATTTTCTTACTGTGCTTAAAAATAAATCTAAAATTACTTCATAGAGGAAGTATTTGGATATTTTTAAAGACTGTCTTTGGCTCCATAATTCTCTACTTCAAAAACCTAGTATGATTTTTCAAATATTGTGGTAACTTATACCCTGTCATTAATTTCAATTTGCCTCCTCCCTTCTGCTCTAAATCAGGAGTCAGCCAACTTTTTCTATAAAGTGTCAAAGAATAAATATTTTTTGCTTTTTAACCCCCTGGTCTCTGTTGCAACTACTCAAATACACTGTTATGCTATGAAAGCAGCCACAATCTATATGTAGATGAATTGGCTTGGCTGTGTTCCAATAAAATTTTATTTATAAACAAATGAGTTTACACCCTGTGGATCTCACCCACGACTTATAGTCTGCAAACCCCTGGTCTAAATCCTCATCTTATCTAACTCAAACACTTTTTTTTTCTTCCCACCCCTAACTCAAACACTTTTAGCCTAAGTGGATAGATATATGGCTGAAACAGCATATGGCCATTTTTGCTTTCTAGGAAACACTATACTCTGAATTCTCTCACCAATTCAAATTTGACTCATTTATCATGGTTCACCACAGCACTTCCCTGGAAAAGTAAGACTACATCTGGGCATCAGTCAAACCCTATCAGTGAACCGTGCACAAACAGAATGAACCTTAAATAATCTATAGAATATCACAACAATATCCTGAAAGGTATTTTTCAGGATCCTTCACTGGGACCTGTTGAGTCAAAATTTTTAATCTCTTATTTCTTACGATTTTGATTTTCCAAAAACTCTGGGAAATAGAAGAATTCAGGAATAAGTTCCTTCACATCATATGGGTTGTCCATGAGAGCCTGCCATGTGGCAGGGATGGAATGGAACTGTCGATCTGCACAGTCAAACCTGCACATGGAGATTGATAGAGAACAGTGAGTACTTAAGGACAGCAAGAACAGCCATGAAACAAACCTTACACCTCCTTCAGGTTTCCTAATGACTAGTTTCTCTTTCATTAATCTTTCTCTTAATGTCTAAAAACACAATTTGGGAGGCACCTGGGTGGCCCAGTCAGTTAAGTGTCTGCCTTCGGCTCAGGTCATGATCCCGGAGTCCCGGGATGGAGCCCCGTCTCGGGCACCCTGCTCAGCAGGAAACCTGCTTCTCCCTCTCTGGGACCCCTGCTTGTGCGTCCTCTCTCTCCTCTCTGTCAAATAAATAAATAAATTCTTTCAAATAAAATAAAATAAAAACACAATTTGTTTTTCCTTATGATAATCTATCTTTCAAATGTTGTTGCCAGGAAGTAAATACTGTAACTTTAATCACTAGTATCCAGCTGAAAACCAAATCACACCGGAGAAAATTTTCAAGTAGTTAAATGTAAACCTAAGAGACTTTTAAAGATAGGCCTAATTTTTGCTGAGTAAAATTCATTACCGAGAGTGTTATTTGGATATTTTAGAATCACAGAATTTAAATATCATTGTTAATATACATGATTAATAGATCCATAGGAATGCTGCTGATTTAATCCTCTATACATAAACACCTTTGCAAAATCTTCTGCTAAAAACCAGAGGGTAAGTTAGGGAAATAGTTCTGTGGCTAAAGCTTTTTATATTTTACTTGCATATACTATTATCTTATTTTAAGTTCCACCACAGGCCTATGATAATTGAAAGAAGGTCAAGTAGTCATGTTACAATTTTATTACACTGTTTTTATGTATTGTTTTATTCATAAAAAGCATAAACCCTCCTGTTTCATCACCTTTGATATTGTTTTCCTGGATTTACCTAGTAATGACTTACTAAATGACACTGATGACTATTTTGACTCTTTTTATGCCTACCAATCTTGGTTTAAGGTGGAGCCGAACTCAGCAGAACTCTGATTTTAATTACAGTCAATGATTGGGTCATCAATAAAGTCTAATAATGGTGTATCCAAATTTAAGGAGATATACGTTTTTTAAAAATGTTTATTGTTATGTTAATCACTATACATTTAAGGAGACATAGTTTTAATGGTAGAATTTTTTGTTTGGGTAAGGGAGAACAGCTTTCCTGAGATATAATTTACATATAATTCACAATTCAATGATTTTCAGTATATTCATGAGTTGTGCAACGATCACCACAATCAAATTTAGAACATTTTCATCACTCCCAAAAGAAACCCTGTATCTATTAGCAGTCACTCACCATCCACTCTATCTCTACTCGCTGGCAACTACTAATCTACTTTCTGTCTCTATGGATTTGTCTCTTTGGGACGCTTCATGTAAATCATACAATATGTGGCTTTTTATGTCTGGCTTATTACATTTAGCATACTGTTTTTGAGGATCATTCATGTCGCAACATATATCTATCTTTCATTCCTTTTATCTACTCATGGCCAAATAATATTCCTGTTGTACAGATATACTACATTTTATTTATTCCTTTATCACCTGACAGACAGACAAACAACCTTTGGGTTGTTTTTACTTTTTGGCTATTACAAATAATGCTGCTATGTACACCTGTCTACAAGTTTTTGTATGAACATATGTCTTCATTTATTTTGGATATATAGCTAGGAGTGGAATTACTAGGTCATATGATAATTTTATGTTTAACCCTTTAAAGAACTGCCAGACCGTTTTCCACAGAGGCTACAGCATTTTTCATTTCCACAGGCAGTACATAAGGGTTCCAGCTTCTTAACATGCTCATCAATACTAGATATTATCTGTATTTTTTATTATCGCCATCCTTTGAGGTGTGAAGAGGTATCTCAATTTGGTTTTGATTTGAATTTCCCGGATGACTAATAATATTGAGCATCTTTTCATATGTTTCTTGGACATTTGTATATCTTCTTTGGAGCAATGTCCATTCAGATCCTTTGTTCAGTTTTTAACTGGGTTGTCTATTATTGCATTTTAAGGGTTACTGTATTATAGACTTCTAAATACAAGTCCCTTATCAGATATACAACCTATAAATATTTTCTCCCTCTGAATGGGTTGTCCTTTTCCTTTCTTGATGGTGTCTTTTGAAGCACAGAATCTATTTCTGAAGCTTTGCAATGAAATCACTTATTGTTAAAATCATTAAAAGCTGAAAAGACCCAGTTATACTTTAATGGGGTGAAAATTACCTACTATCATGTATATGTAACATTTGGAGATGGTTAATGTGATCATGGGGACAGAGTCTCTTCTTGAAAGCCAAGGCTTACTGTACTAAAGACAGGAGGTAAGGGTAATTTTGAGAGATAAAAATTATATGCCAAGAGAGTAGAATAGGCAATGTTTATATAGCTCGATTGGGTGCATAGGAAAGGTGAAATAGTAATGTTAAAGAATAAGGCAACACGGAGATAAAATGTGATTAAGTAGGGAGCTATAGAGAGGATACACTGGAAAACTGAGGACTCATCAAGAAGTTTGTTTCTTTAGGATTATTAAGAAAGTGTGAAACATAGTAAGTTATAACTCTGACAGGTAATATGATAATACAAAGGCATCACAGACCTGTGTGGATTATGTAAGAGCCCCTCATTCCTCCTTATTTTTATTCTTTAATAAATATTTTAAAGAGGACTACATATGCATTGGTTAGATTTAAATCTCTGGCAGATGTCATGGATCTAGGTCTAAATCAGTTCAAACTCTAAATCTCTGGCAGGTTCCTAAAACCAGTAAGAATCACAAAGTTACACTAGATAACAGTAAAAAGGAATTCTCCTTAAAGGTCATTTGTGTAAGTCAATTGGAGTGACCCATTCTCAAACTAGTTTGGCTGTTTTTGTTTAGAGGCTTTTAAATTAATCAAAACCTAATAGAGGAGAATAAAAAAGATAAGGCCCTGTTATACAGTACATGACATGAAGGCAAAGAGTTTTCAATGCTAACATGTAGTATTAAGAAAATAGCTTATTTACCCAAAACATACCTTCCACTCTGAAGCTGGATGTGGAGGGTGGTGAATGGTTCTGTACGAATAAGATAGTGCATAACCCCAGCAGAATTTGAATAGTGAGTACCATAATGAAATTTATCAATAGTTCCCATGGGATCCTCAAAATTTTCATACCTAAAAAAAGAAACTAAACTTTTGTAACCACAACATAATATTAAATTAGGAGGACATAAGGTTGTATTGCATTGCTAGAAACATACTTTTTAAGAAGTCCCTATTAATATTCATTATTTACATATTCATATCATCACACCAAGTTAATAAATGAAAAAAAATTATTCTTTTTTTTTTTCCGGAAAGTAGTATCACTAGAAACAGGATTCTAGGATAGCTTCATATTATGCAATAATATATAGTCGCTGTAGATAAATTAGAAAACACAGAGAACCAAAAAAGGGGAAACTTAAAATCAAGCACAGAAATAATTAACATTAACATTCTGATGAATATCTGTCACTCTTAAAGTATAAGTTAATACACAAATATATTTCAATATAAAAGTGCTATACATAATATATTGTTCACAACCTATTTTTTCATTTAATAATTTTCTATTTATGTCTTTCCAAATGACTGAGTAGTCTACTTTTTGACAGTACCTGGTATTTATAACAGTAACATATATAATTGTATGACAATTTAACTATTTCTTTAGTTTTAGAAACAAAGGGTTGTTTCTATTTTTCTGCTACTGTAAGCAGTGATAATGAGACATCCCTTTGTGGCCAAGGTAATGGAAGAAAATATGGAGGATCGGTCAAGAATTGTGGAAATGAATGCCTAACAAAGGAAAAAGAAGGTAGGATAGGAAGGAAGATGATGAATAGGAAGACCTAAAGCAGATAATAAGGAAAGGATATATATATATATATATATAGTGATTCTGTAAGCACTACCACTGTGTAATTGTTTTGAACGGTGGTTTGAATACTGACATCTGAATTAGTGGGTATAAAATCTGAGTAAGAACAGTTTTTTGGAGGAAATAAACACTAAATTTTTCAAACCAAAACAGTAATTAGTTCATTGAGTTGAGGCCAATTTCCTTTTACAGAGAAATCATTAATATTTAGGGGAATAAAAGCTTTCAGGTCAAAGTCATCTGCATCTATGCAAAAACATATACTACTGAAATTTAAAACAGTATTTCCTGTGGAACATATTTTAAAAAGCTTGTTTTTTTGTTACTGTCAGTAAAGTTTGACTAATGGTAGTGAGGTAACATATACACAGCAGAATTCCACTAGTAAATCAAATCAAGTATCAAACACTACAAGAAGTCCTAAGATAGATTTGCAAATAAAATGAAAAAAAAAGTACTACTCTCAAGTAAATCTACACTATTTGTTTGCAAAATAGTTTTTTGCCCTTATTATTAGAAGTCATAACTGACAATTCATCCACAATTTCACATGGAGAAAAAAGGGAAATTAAAATTAGATTATTCTTTTACCTGTCAGCAGCTTGGTTTGAATAAAAAAAAATTGTAAGGCATTCACAGGATCATAAATATAAAGAATTATAAAAATTCCTTTCCTTATTAAAAGATAGCAACTTTCTACACATTTCACTATATTTTTTTATTCACATTATTTGTGAATCATAGGTTAGTATTAATTTTATATCTACCAAAATATTGTATTAAATTAAGGGTATTTTTGCATGTTAGATTAGGAGGTTAGTAAGTCTAAAGTATCTGGGAAGAAAAATTACCTTTCAGCACATACAAAGTGAAAAGATACTCTAAACAAAATCAATTGAAATTTGGCAAAGAAGTGAAATAAACAGACTATAGTTAAGATACTTGAGGGACAATGATATATTTTCAAGACATAGTGAAGGGATTATCAGACTATCGCTGTGCATTTAAAAAAAGTAACACCTGGTTGGCCATAGTAGAAATCAATGCAAATTCAAAATACCATCAAAAGTGATGGGTATCTTTCAAAAGGGATAAAAGGCACTTACTTTTCTCGCATGGCTTTGGCATTTTTATCATTAACTACCCCAATTGGTTTGGAAAGATCTCGAAATACAGATGGGTTATTAAGGTCCAACTCTTCTGACGTATAATCTTGTAAAATCCAGGGAAACTAAAAGAGCCACAATTTACAATTTAGACATTCCTTTCCAGAGAAGCTACTATCCCCATATGTAATATTAAATGTTTATCTAAAGACAAAAAGGGATAGTCTTTAAAAATATTTTTCCCTGTTTCAAATGTCTATTCATCTTCAGTTCCATAACCAGAAGCATTAATTCCTATAACTTCACTGGAATATTTTCAATGAAGTGGAAAAAAAAAGCTTTTATTATTTAATTATTCTTCATGTTTATATACTTTTTGAAGATAGCATGTAGAAAATATACAAAAAGGAAAAACAGGTTTTGTATCTTTTTTAAAGATGAAAAATCATCTTACACATACACACACGTTCTTGTGTATTATAAAACTGAAAGTCAATCCCATATTTATGAGATTTCTATAAAACTTACCACAGGATACTGTGCAAGGTCATTATAGGTTCGTCCTGCCATTGTATTTATTTGAATGAGGTAGTCAAAATTTGATATCTCTCTGTTCACCCATTTCTAGACAGTACAAAAAGCAAAATCCAAATTAACTTAAATTTTTAGAAGTTAGTAACTGTTATTGATAGTACTAACATAATCTTTTGTTCCCATAATCTTGATCATCTTACTAATAAAAGGAATGGGGCTTTTAAAAAAGGCTTAAACCAATAAACTTTTCCTAAATTTCCTTCCTTGTAAAAACTGATCTTTAGAAAAGGAAGAGAAAATTAAACATAAATCTTTTATTAGTCAAAAAATTCACAAGAATTCTTTTTTCCAATTAAGTTATTTTATTTAAATATCTTAAAAATGTCAATTTTAGGACTGTCCAACAATGAAAATTGTTTTATAAACTGAAATTTTCAGAAGAGCACATATTAAAAAAAAGCATCCTACTGTACTAAAATATCTATAAATTTTAAATAAATATTATCTTACCTAATCTCAGAGAACTGCCTTGCTAGAACAACAGTAGATGAGATTTTGCTATATTAGATATAAAATTTTCTGAAGAAAAACATAATCACTATTTTCTTTTAATCACTAGCCTGCTAATTACTCTACACAGTTTGGGTATGCTCAAGAATTTTGCTGACAGATTAATATTCACCTTTAAGTTTACTGTTTTGCCTTACACAAAAGATATATTTATGGGAATGGTGAGGAATGAATTTACATATATATATATATATTTTATAGAAAGCCCAATTAAAATTATTCTTGAGTGCTAACTTGAGAAGTACTTTAACAAATAAAATTTATTCCACAAAAAAAACAGAAAATGTATTCCATTAAATAAACCTTATTTCATAAACAATATGAAAGAATTGCTGATAGCTTTTGAACAAGAGCAACACTTAAGATTATGATTAAAGCATATATAAGAGGGAGGAGTGAGTCAGGAGGCAGAGACCCGAATTAGGAGACTACTGACAGTCCTGGAAAGCAAAAAAAACAATGGTCTTTCCTTGGATGTTGGTAGTAGAAATTCAAGATATATTGGGATATAGGTGAGGATAAAATATACAAGAGCATTAATTAGATTTGGCTAATAGATGAACTGATTTTTTTTTTTTTTGCTTTTTTTTCCCATGGGGTCTTTTGTATTTTCCCACTTTTTACCTCAGGCATAGATTAATTTTATTATGGAAAAACCCAACAAACCCACCTGTTATATTTTAAAAAGATAAAATTATTAAAATAGAAGAATTTGTAAGATATGCCCATGAACCAAATGGTATGGGAGCTGGGGGACAGGGTACTGTTTTATTGAAACAGAAAGATTCAAAGATAATTCAAAAGATCAATTTGAGGGGGCGGAGCAAGATGGCGGAGGAGTAGCAGACCTGGATTTCTTCTGGTCTAAGGAATTCAGCTGAATAGGGATCAAACCATTCTGAACACCTAGGAACTCAACAGGAGATCGAAGATAAGAATAGTAACAACACTCTGAACAGAAAAGCGACCACCTTCTGGAAGGTAGGACTGCGGAGAAGTGAATCCGAGGTGATATTCGGGAGGACAGACAGCAGGGGGAGGGGGCCTCTGTCGGTGGCTTCTGACAAGTGATAGAGCCCCACAGCACAAAAGCAGAACTTTTAGAAGTCGGCTCCGCTGAGGGACGTTGCTCCAGTGGCTAAGCGGGGGGTGGGGGGGGGTGGGGGGGGTGGAACCTTCGCAGGACAGTGTGGTCTCAGAACCATCGGGGTCACAGAAAGACCAGGGTTGCCTGAGTGCGGCAGAGCTCCCAGGTATTGGAGCGGGGAAGCCGGCTGCAGAGACGGAGCCGAGGCGCGGGCTCTCAGCTCAGGGTTGCCAAAAACTGTGATCTGTGGCCTAGTCGGGCCACTGCTCCTCCAGCAGGGACCCAACAAGCGGCCGAGCTGAGGAGACTCCCCTTCCTCCCCCGGGAGGAGCAGCGCGGAAGCGCACCGCAGGGATCTGCTGAGTTTGGAGACTCCACACGGGGTCAGGTGCCAGAGACAGAAGCCCTCGGTCACAGACCGGGTGAACATGAAGTGCGGCCAGAGACCGGGGAGACGGGAGTGACTGCTTTTCTCTGGGGGCGCACTGAAGAGCGGGGCCCCGAGTTCTCAGCTCCTCTGGGTGGAGATTGGGAGGCCACCATTTTCACCCTGGTCCTCCAAAGCTGTACCGAGAGCTTGCAGGGAACAAAAGCTCCTGAGAGCAAACCCGAGCAGCTTGCTTAGCCCGGACTCACAAGGGCAGGGCAATTCCGCCCCCAGCAAAGACATTTGTGAACCTCGGCAACAGGCCCCTCCCCCAGAAGATCAGCACGAACAGCCAGCAAGCCAAGACCAAGTTTACCGATCAAGGAGAACGGCAGAACTCCAGCGCTAGGGGAATACTGCGCATAGAATTCATGGCTTTTTTACCGTAATTCATTAGTTTTTCAAAGTTAATTTTTTTAACTTTTTTTTTTTAATTTTTCATTTTCCCTTTTTCAACCAACATCTTATCAATCCGTTTTTTTAAAAAAAACATTTTTTATTTTTCATTTTTAGAGTCATATTTTTATCTCTTCATAGTAGTTACCCTTATTTTTGGCATATATATATATAAGTTGTTCTCTCTAAAATTTTGAGATACAATTTCTTCTAACAGATCAAAATATACCCTAAATCACTAGTGTATGGCTTTGTTCTAGTCTCCTGCCTGATCACATTCTCTCCCTTTTTTCCTTTTTTTAAAATCTTCTTTCTTTAAAAACAACTTATCAATTCCTTTTACAAAATCTTTTATAATTTTCATCTTTACAGTCATCTTCCATCCCTTCATTGTATCAACCCTTATTTTGTACATATATGTCTTTTTTCCTTTAAAATTTTAGCAGGCACTTTTTTCTAACAGAACAAAATATGCCCAAAATCTAGTGTGTGGCACTGATCTATGCACTAGCCTGATCATATTTGATCATATTCTGTTTTTTTTTTTGTTTTGTTCTGTTTTTGTTTGTTTTTATCTTTTTCTTTTTCCTTTTTTTTTTCTCTCTTCTTTCTTTTCCTTTCTTGTCCCCTGGTTTCAGGCCTTTCCTGATTTGTATAGAGTATATTTGCTGGAGACGCTGTTAACCTGTTAGCATTTTGTTCTCTCATTCATCTATTCTCCTCTGGACAAAATGACAAGATGGAAAAAATCACCTCAGCAAAAAGAACAAGAGGTAGTACCGTCTGCCAGGGACCTACTCAATACTGACATTAGTACGATGTCGGACCTAGAGTTCAGAATCATGACTTTAAAGATACTAGCTGGGCTTGAAAAAAGTGTGGAAGTTATTAGAGAAACCCTTTCTGGAGAAATAAAAGAACTAAAATCTAACCAAGTCGAAATCAAAAAGGCTATTAATGAGGTGCAATCAAAAATGGGGGCACTAACTGCTAGCATAAATGAGGCAGAAGAGAGAATCAGCGATATAGAAGACCAAATGATGGAAAACAAAGAGGCTGAGAAAAAGAGAGAGAAACAACTATAGGATCACGAGGGCAGAATTCGAGAGATAAGTGATACGATAAGACGAAACAACATTAGAATAATTGGGATCCCAGAAGAAGAAGAAAGAGAGAGAGGGGCAGAAGGTATACTGGAGCAAATAACAGCAGAGAACTTCCCTAGTGTGGGGAAGGAAACAGGCATCAAAATCCAGGAGGCACAGAGAATCCCTCTCAAAATCAAAAAAATAGGTCAATGCCCCAACATCTAATAGTAAAACTTACGAGTCTCAGAGACAAAGACAAAATCCTGAAAGCAGCTCGGGAGAAGAGATATGTAACCTACAATGGTAGAAACATTGGCTTGGCAACAGACCTATCCACAGAGACCTGGCAGGCCAGAAAGGACTGGCATGATATGTTCAGAGCACTAAACGAGAAAAATATGCAGCCAAGAATACTATATCCAGCTAGGCTGTTATTGAAAATAGAAGGAGAGATAAAAAGCTTCCAGGACAAACAAAAACTAAAGGAATTTGCAAACACGAAACCAGCCCTCCAAGAAATATTGAAAGGGGTCCTCTAAGCAAAGAGAAAGCCTAAAAGCAGCATAGATCAGAAAGGAACACAGACAATATACAGTCACAGTCACCTTACAGGCAATACAATAGTACCCAATTCATACCTTTCAATAGTTACCCTGAATGTAAATGGGCTAAATGCCCCAATCAAAAGACACAGGCTATCAGATTGGATTAAAAAACAAGACCCATCAATATGCTGTCTGCAAGAGACTCATTTTAGACCCAAAGACACCCCCTGATTGAAAGTGAGGGGGTGGAAAACCATTTACCATGCTAATGGACACCAAAAGAAAGCTGGGGTGGCAATCCTTATATCAGACAAATTAGATTTTAAACCAAAGACTCTAATAAGAGATGAGGAAGGACACTATATCCTACTTAAAGGGTCTATCCAACAAGAAGATCTAACAATTGTAAATATCTATGCCCCTAACATGGGAGCAGCCAATTATATAAAGGCAATTAATAACAAAAGCAAAGAAACACATTGACAACAATACAATAATAGTGGGGGACTTTAACACCCCCCTGACTGAAATGGACAGATCATCTAAGCAAAAGATCAACACGGAAATAAAGATTTTAAATGAAACACTGGACCAAATGGACTTCACAGACATATTCAGAACATTCCATCCCAAAGCAACGGAATACACATTCTTCTCTAGTGCCCATGGAACATTCTCCAGAATTGATCACATCCTAGGTCACAAATCAGGTCTCAACTGGTACCAAAAGATTGGGATCATTCCCTGCATATTTTCAGACCACAATGCTTTGAAACTAGACCTCAATCACAAGAGGAAAGTCGGAAAGAATTCAAATACATGGAGGCTAAAGAGCATCCTACTAAAAAATGAATGGGTCAACCAGGAAATTAAAGAAGAATTAAAAAAATTCATGGAAACCAATGAAAATGAAAACACAACTGTTCAAAATCTTTGGGGTACAGCAAAGGCAGTCCTGAGAGGAAAGTACATAGCAATACAAGCCTTTCTCAAGAAACAAGAAAGGTCTCAAATACACAACCTAAACCTACACCTAAAGGAGCTAGAGAAAAAACACCAAAAAAAGCCTAAAGCCAGCAGGAGAAGAGAAATAATACAGATCAGAGCAGAGATCAATGAAATAGAAAACAAAAGAACAGTAGAACAGATCAACGAAACTAGGAGCTGGTTCTTTGAAAGAATTAACAAGATTGACAAACCCCTGGCCAGACTGATCAAAAAGAAAAGAGAAATGACCCAAATCAACAAAATCATGAATGAAAGAGGAGAGATCACAACCAACACCAAAGAAATACAAACAATTATAAGAACATATTATGAGCAACTCTATGCCAGCAAATTAGATAACCTGGAAGAAATGGGTGCATTCCTAGAGATGTATCAACTACCAAAATTGAACCAGGAAGAAATAGAAAATCTGAACAGACCTATAACCACTAAGGAAATTGAAGCAGTCATCAAAAATCTCCCAAGAAACAAAAGCCCAGGGCCAGATGGCTTCCCAGGGGAATTCTATCAGACATTTAAAGAAGAATTAATACCTATTCTCCTGAAACTGTTCCAAAAAATAGAAATGGAAGGAAAACTTCCAAACTCATTTTATGAGGCCACCATTACCTTGATCCCCAAACCAGACAAAGACCCCATCAAAAAGGAGAATTACAGACCAATATCCTTGATGAACATGGATGCAAAAATTCTCACCAAAATACTAGCCAATAGGATCCAACAGTACATTAAAAGGATTATTCACTACAACCAAGTGGGATTTATCCCTGGGCTGCAAGGCTGGTTCAACATCTGCAAATCAATCAACGTGATACAATACATTAACAAAAGAAAGAACAAGAATCATATGATCCTTTCAATAGATGCAGAAAAACCATTTGACAAAGTACAGCATCCTTTCTTGATCAAAACTCTTCAGAGTATAGGGATAGAGGGTACATACCTCAATATCATAAAAGCCATCTATGAAAAACCTATAGTGAATATCATTCTCAATGGGGAAAAGCTGAGTTTTTTCCCTAAGGTCAGGAACGCGGCAGGGATGTCCACTATCACCACTGCTATTCAACATAGTATTAGAAGTCCTAGCCACAGCAATCAGACAACAAAAAGAAATCAAAGGCATCCAAATCGGCAAAGAGGAAGTCAAACGCTCACTCCTTGCAGATGATATGATACTGTATGTGGAAAACCCAAAAGACTCCACCCCAAAACTGCTAGAACTCATACAGGAATTCAGTAAAGTAGCAGGATATAAAATCAATGCACAGAAATCAGTGGCATTCCTATACACCAACAACAAGACAGAAGAGAGACAAATCAAGGAGTCTATCCCATTTACAACTGCACCCAAAACCATAAGATACCTAGGAATAAATTTAACCAAAGAGGTAAAGGATCTGTACTCAGAAAACTATACAATACTCATGAAAGAAATTAAAGAAGACACAAAGAAATGGAAAAACGTTCCATGCTCATGGATTGGAAGAACAAACATTGTGAAGATGTCAATGCTACCTAGAGCAATCTACACATTCACTGCAATCCCCATCAAAATACCATCCACCTTTTTCAAAGAAATGGAACAAATAATCCTAAAATTTGTATGGAACCAGAAGGGACCCCGAATAGCCAGAGGAATATTGAAAAAGAAAAGCAAAGCTGGCGGCATCACAATTCCGGACTTCCAGCTCTATTACAAAGCTGTCATCATCAAGACAGTATGGTACTGGCACAAAAACAGACACATAGATCAATAGAACAGAATAGAGAGCCCAGAAATGGACCCTCAACTCTATGGTCAACTAATCTTTGACAAAGCAGGAAAGAATGTCCAATGGAAAAAAGACAGTCTCTTCAACAAATGGTATTGGGAAAATTGGACAGCCACATGTAGAAGAATGAAACTGGACCATTTCCTTACACCACACACAAAAACAGACTCCAAATGGTTGAAAGACCTAAATGTGAGACAGGAGTCCATCAAAATCCTAAAGGAGAACACAGGCAGCAACCTCTTCGACCTCAGCCGCAGCAATTTCTTCCTAGAAACATCGCCAAAGGCAAGGGAAGCCAGGGCAAAAATGAACTATTGGGATTTCATCAAGATAAAAAGCTTTTGCACAGCAAAAGAAACAGTCCACAAAACCAAAAGACAACCGACAGAATGGGAGAAAATATTTGCAAATGACATATCAGATAAAGGGCTAGTATCAAAAATCTATAAAGAACTTATCAAACTCAACATCCAAAGAACAAATAATCCAATCAAGAAATGGGCAGAAGACATGAACAGACATTTTTCCAAAGACATTTTCCAACAGACACATCCAAATGGCCAAGAGACACATGAAAAAGTGCTCAACATCGCTCGGCATCAGGGAAATCCAAATCAAAACCTCAATGAGATACCACCTCACACCAGTCAGAATGGCTAAAATTAACAAGTCAGGAAATGACAGATGTTGGCGGGGATGTGGAGAAAGGGGAACCCTCCTACATTGTTGGTGGGAATGCAAGCTGGTGCAACCCCTCTGGAAAATGGTATGGAGGTTCCTCAAAAAGGTGAAAATAGAGCTACCATACGATCCAGCAACTGCACTACTGGGTATTTACCACAAAGATACAAATGTAGGGATCCGAAGGGGTACGTGCACCCCAATGTTTATAGCAGCAATGTCCACAATAGCCAAACTGTGGAAAGAGCCAAGATGTCCATCGACAGATGAATGGATAAAGAAGATGTGGTATATATACACAATGGAATATTATGCAGGCATCAAAAGGAATGAGATCTTGCCGTTTGCAACGACGTGGATGGAACTGGAGGGTGTTATGCTGAGTGAAATAAGTCAATCAAAGAAAGACATGTATCATATGACCTCACTGATATGAGGAATTCTTAATCTCAGGAAACAAACTGAGGGTTGCTGGAGTGGTGAAGGGTGGGAGGGATGGGGTGGCTGGGTGATAGACATTGGGGAGGGTATGTGCTATGGTGAGCACTGTGAATTGTACAAGACTGATGAATCACAGATCTGTACTTCTGAAACAAATAATGCAATATATGTTAAGAAAAAAAGAAGAAGAAGAAGATAGCAGGAGGGGAAGAATGAAGGGGAGTAAGTTGGAAGGGGAGACGGACCATGAGAGACGATGGACTCTGAAAAACAAACTGAGGGTTCTAGAGGGGAGGGGGGTGGGGGGATGGGTTAGCCTGGTGATGGATATTAAAGAGGGCACATTCTGCGTGGAGCCCTGGGTGTTATGCACAAACAATGAATCATGGAACACTACATCAAAAACTAATGATGTAATGTATGGTGATTAACATAACAATAAAAAATTATTTAAAAAAAGATCAATTTGAATGGAAGAATGGATGGAATAACCAAAATACAATAATCAGAAGAGGAAGTTTTAGGCAAAAGCCTGAAATACAATATGAACATTAAAACAGTGACTGTTAAAATTTCCTACCTGTGTCAATCCTGATGCTTTGAATAATTCCTGTGGTGATCTGGTTCCATAACTATTTGGAGAATGAAGTGACAACAGTCTGCTATATACTTTGTTTCTAACCTATAAAAAACAGCATTTTACAGTTTAAAAATTGATCAAGACAAGCTGGGATTATGGCTTTTGTAACTACTTTACTGAAATATAATTCACATACCACAAAATTTACCCTTTTGAAGTATACAAATCAGTGGGCTTTTTCTGTATATTCAAAAGAGCTGTGCAAACATAAACATTATCTAACTCTGGAACATTTTCATCATCCTTGAAAGAAACTTCATACTCACTAGCCATCACCCTCCAAAATTCTCACTCCCTCTCAACCCCTGATAACCACTAATCTACTTTCTGCCTCTACAAATTTGCCCATTCTGGACATTTCTCATAAATAGAGGATTATGGTTTTAACTAACTCTACTAGGTTTGGTGAAGTGAAATCATATATTTTTTGAATAAGTTAGAGTGCATAATGGAATGATCAGCAGATACTGAATCAGAAAACTAGCTTGAGTACAGTTCAAATTTAGTCCTGTCATATACTAATCATATTGGCAAATCAATTTACTGAGCTTCATTTGTACATTAAACATAATAATCTCTACCCTTACAGTTTTCTGAATTCTTCAAGGCTATACAAATGTAAAGTAATAAAATTCATCTTTGAACTTCAGTTTCCTCATCTATAAAAAAAGCAGTAACAGAATTTGCCACAGTGAATCTGAAGGTTGTTATGAAGATTAGAAACATATATAAATGTGCTTTAAAAAGTATAAAGTTATACAAATGTACAGTATTCAACAGAAGCATGGTTGGTTTAATTACATGACATACCTTCCTAAGAAACACAAGTTTTGTATATTCCTATGGGGAAATTTTAATAGTAAAAAAAGTATTCTTTTGTAAAAAAAACAGAAATGGCCTTTAAACGTCTGAACAAAATCATCTATAAGTAAACCTGGATCCTACAAATGAACAGAAACTTAGTTACTGACTGTGCTAATCCAGATTGTCTCAAAAGCAAATGAAAAAGATAGAACTGAATATTCAAAGGATTTTATTAGGAGAGATGCCTTGTGACAGAAAATGAAGAAATAGCTAGGCAAGACCTGGAGAGCTATCAGAAAATTAGGCAAGTTTGACCCCAAGTGAGTAACAGAGGGAAGGAAGGTTGGGGGCAAGCATCCCAAGTAACATGCTGAAGATACACAGGTATTGGTGGAGCTAGTATCTAGACCCAAGTAATCTGGCTTCAGGGGTAATCTCTTAACCACCTACACTATTCAAGAATTTACTCTATTCCCGGAATAAATAAATACCTGCCCCATTATTATTTAACTGAACCCAACCCAATTTCATAAATCCCATCATATTATATATGTTGCATATTATTTCACAACTGGATACTGTGGGGCACATATTGGCTGACACCTCATATTTTACTCATTTATCTGCTCATATATAAAAACTGAAAACACCCTAAAAATACTCAAACATAAATCCCAATAAAATTCATTTACTACTTAGCTCCTAAGGCATATATTTTTTCCAATAATATTTTGACTTCACAAATGAGTCCAAAGTTTCATTATAGCTCACCAGCTGGAAAATTACTTCAAGCTAACACTGTGGGGCTTCCAGAAAGGTAATATCTTACATACCTCTTTTTTGAAATTGAGAAAGTAGTTGGATTGGTCAACATGAAAAATCTCAAGAGCTGACCTCCTTAAATTGTAACGCCGCAGATGAATCTCCCGAACTTGAGAATGAGGCCACTTGAAATCAAAGCCTACTCCTGAAAACAGAAGAAATCTTGTGATGAAGGTACCATATGAAGTTACTCAAGTTATGCAGAAAATATCTCCTAGTTCCTGACAAAAGAGGCACTTAGGGAAAAGGAATTAAATTCCTATTTCACAGAAATCATTTGTTAAATTTAGTGGATGTTTAAATGGTTTCCTTCATTTGTTTTATTTTTTTTAAAGAGAGAGAGAGAGCACGCACATTGTGTGTGGTGGGGGGGGTGGGTAGAGGGGCAAGGAGAGAGAGAATCTTAAGCAGTCTCCACACCCAGCATGGACCTGACTTGGGGCTCAATCTCAAAACCCTGAGATCATGACTTGAGCTGAAATCAAGAGTGGGATGCATAAGTGTCTGAGCCACCCAGGAGCTCCTAAATGGTTTAAAACTAAAAAAAAAAAAATTCTATAGCTATTCCACTTCCTTCTCATGAGAACAGAGAATAATCCTGATTATTATATCTCAAAAGCACTTTTCCTTTTCTCTTTATATTGGCATTCTAGATTTAAATATCCTTTTTATTTTCAGATAAAGGATTAGGTGAGAAGCTGATGGAAATAAATGTACAAATAAAATTAAGATTGCATTTTATAACAAGTTTACAGCAATCTCCTCTCACCAAACCTTTTAAAAAACATTAACAAAAAAAGCATTCCCTTTAATACAGTTGAAAAATAAACTGAATCCCATATTGACTTTCACTTTTCTCCTTTTAGATGACAGACCACAATTCCAGTCCTATCTTATTTTCTTCTCATTAATATTTGATAAACTGGATACTTAACTATTGAACAACAGAAATTATTCCCCCAGAACTCCTCACCATCTTCTTTTTCAATGCTGCAATCATAGAAGTAAATGTGTTGAGTAGTGATTTCTAATTTGCCAGGAATTACATCAATTATTGTAATGAGTTCACAGTCTTCCGACAACACCAATTTTTCTTTTTGATCCTGTTCTTCTTTCTCATCACTGTAAAAACAAAAATCAACCAAACAAAAACCATCCAACAATGTATTCTGTATAAATGGAAAAGAGTATCAAGAAAGCATATTTGAATTACTAAAAAAAAATTTCACTGCATATTAAATTACTTAAATATTGTCCAAATGTTATTGCCCAATAACTTAGTTTCCCCAAAAAAAGTTTTACATTTTAATTGTATGTGACTCATTAAAAGAAAATATAGTGAATCTTTTAAGACTACTGGCAGAGAACAATTCAAACATGCAGCAGTACTAGTCATGTGATTTTAGTTATATTTGGGAGACATGAATTGAGCAGGGGAATATATGAATCTGTGAATAAAGGACTGCATCATTAGTGATGTTTTATAAATTATCAGAAGCACTAATTATGATTGATTCTTAAACTGTAAAATAAAACTTTTTTTTTTTTTTTGGACATAGAGAGAGACAGTGAGAGAGGGAACACAAGCAGGGGGACTGGGAGAGGGAGAAGCAGGCCTCCCACCGAGCAGGGAGCCTGATGTGGGGCTCAATCCCAGGACCCTGAGATCATGACCCGAGCCAAAGGCAGTCGCTTAACCAACTGAGCCACCCAGGCACCCTAAAATAAGACTTTTCAAGAGTAACTAAATCTAGGTAATTTCCCCTAACAGTAGGACTGGGGATGATACAAAGAGTTACTACTGCAATACCTTACTTAGAGTGAAGCCACCTTATATTAAGAGAACTGTTATATTTTATTTTTACTGGGGAAGATAACAGGGAAGGGTGTGTCTTCTAGCGGCCTAGGTGACTTCTGACTGTCACATATAGAAATGGGAACTCCTATCACTCACAGAATGCTATTCAAGTAAATCTTTCAAGCCAGCTGCTTCCTGGTCCTAGGTATTTCACATCTGCCCCATTTCCAGGATAGCAATGACCAAGTCTAATTTTTCCCCCCAGTGGAGTTCCAGGAGGAAGCTCTACAAGTATCACCAGCCTAACTGGTGATATTGCAACCCACAACTTAAAGCTAAGCTGTAAAAAAAAAAACATTAAAAATTAAGAATGTTTTCCTAAACAGTGAAATTCCAATATTTACAGTGATGAAATAGAGATATAAGTGACTTAAAAGAGTAAATAGTCTGAGAGTTATTTATATTTTATAAAAGAAAGGGTTTGGTTTTTTAGTTTGTAATTAATGAGACATATTAATTAATCACTGACATATTCACTGAATTCACCAGTCATTAAAGTAAAAAAAAAAAATTCGTTTTAAAAGGTTGACTAAATAATCTACCAAAGATAGCACCCTATATAATTAACCCTACCCAGTTCCCTGAAAATTATCAAGGAAATCTTAAAAATTATCAAAATTATATGAACTTGTTTATGCTAACAAAGTACACTATTGAACCTGGTCAATTTGTAATACTAAAATTAAGTTCCCAAGAAATATATGCCAAATGTAGTTTATCATCCATAAAAAAGTAATGTTCAGAATAAATTATATATTTGGGTCTTAACTACTCATTTTTGGCTGAAGGTGAGGCTTTATCAGAGAAAGTAAAAATCAGGGAGATGTGTAAATCATGAAATTGGAACACATTCCCTAAAGCACACACAGTTCCACTGGCAAAGAACGGCAATCTTCTGGAACAAGGGGTTTAAATACAACCAAATAACTGATTACTGGCTGACCACCAAGCTATACTAACTTTAAAAGGCCAGTCTTTTATTTTAAAAACAGACTTTTTGTTTAAAAACAAAACAAAGTAAAACAAAAACCCATTCCATGGAGTACAGACATCACTGGCAACAGGCAGCAGGTAAGATATACTCCACAGAATTAGTCCAGGAAAGTCGCTAAACAAAAATACCACCACAATAACCACCATCAAGGAAGGGGATCAGAAACCAGAGTGGTTACAATTTATTATCTAAAATGCACAGTTTTCACGAAAATTATAAAACAGTAAAGTATGGGCCATAAAGACAAAAGCAGTAAAAAGAAACTGTTGTTGGGGGACCGTAGATGTTAAACTTAGCAGACAAAGACTGTAAAGTAGCTATCATAAATACATTAAAAGAACTAAAGGAAACCACGTTTAAAGAACTAAAGTACATTATAGCAACAAAGCCTAGTCAAATAAGAGATTGCAAATTACGAGACAGAAATTACATACATATCTGTAAAAAAAGAAGCACATGGAAAATCATTGAATCAAAAACATAATAACTAAATGAAAAATTCACCAGAAGGACACAACAGCATATCTGAACTTGCAGAAGAAAGACCCAGGACTCTTGGCGACAGTTCAAAACAAACTGTCCAATCTGAAGCACACAAAGCAGGATGAAAACACCTCAAAGGTTACCATCATGGGAAACAAAATGTTTTATAAAGGGACTCCCAGAAGGAGAAGACAGAGAAAAAGGGCCAAACATATATATTTGAAGGAATAATGCCTGACAACTTCCCAAATTATAATAATAATAATAATAATTTACACATCCAGGAAGATCTTATGAATATCCAAAGAGATCTATCTACACATGGACATAAAGCCAAGGTGTTGAAAGGCATGGACAAAAAATACAACAATACAGGACACTAAAAGGTAATGGTATGACATATTCAAAATGCTGAAAGGAAAAAAAAAAACTTGTCCACTAAGAATTGTATATCCCACAAAACTATCCATTAAAAAAGAAAGTAACGGTTCTCAGGCAACTGGATAATCACATTAAAAAAAAGAATGAATGTGGACTCCCACATCATACCACATATAAAAATTAACTAAAAATGGATCAAAAACCTAAATGTAAGAGACAATATATAAAACTTCTAGAAAATGTAAAACTTTTGTGCATCAACGAAATGAAGGAAAACATATTCAAGGGAGAACATTTTTGCAAATCACACATCTGATAAGGCATTTGTATCTAGAATAAAGAACTAATATAACTTAATAACTAAAAGATAACCCAATTAAAAAATGAGCAAAGGATCTGCATAAATATTTATATATTTATAAATATATAAAAAGATATATAAACAGTAAGTAAATACATGAAAAGATGCTCAGCATCATTAGTCATTAGGAAAATGCAAATAAAATCACAAGGTACCACTTAAAATCAGATAGTATAATAAGTAAACACACAGAATACAAAAGTTGGGGTAGATGTGGAAAAATTTAAACCCCAGAACGTTAAATGGTGTAGTCATTGTGAAAACAATTTTATAATTCCTTAAATAAACATAGAATTACTATATGACTAACAAATTCATTCCTAGGTATATACCCAATATAACTGAAAACATATGTTGACACAAAGATTTGTATATTAATATTCATGAAGTATTATTTATAATAGCCAAAAAGTAGAAATAACTATATGTCCATCAATTGATGAATAAACAAAAGTGGTATATCCATATGACAGAATATTATTCAACCATAAAAAGGAATAAAGCACAGTTAACATGCTCCTCTATGAATGAGCCTTGAAAACATTATCCTGAATGAAATGAGGACACAAAAGGCCACATATTTTAAGAAATAAATAAAATGTCAAAAACAGGCAAATCCAATAAAGACAGAAAGCAGATTAGTGGTTTCCAGGGGATGTATAAAGGGGAAAATTGGGAGTGACTACTAAAAAGCATACGATTTCCTTTCAGAATGACGGACATGTTCTGGAATTAGTGGTAATGTTCACTCTGTGAATATACTAAAACCCATGGAACAGTAGTTTAACCTAGTAAATTTTATATTATACGAATCTTAATTTTCAAAAAATAGAACTCTATTTTTTAAAAAGAATCCAAAATGAAAGCAAAAATAAAGACTTCCACAGATAACAAAGACTGAGAGAATATGTGGCTATCAGACCTTCCTTATAAGAAAACAAAAGAAGTCCTTCAGGCTGAAAGGAGATGACACCAGATGTAATCTGAATGTTCACAGAGAAACAGTATATAAGTATGGTAATTATCTTCCCTTAACTAATTTAGACACGTGCATAAAACAGTAACTATTAAACTATTGTTGGGAGAAGAGTCCAAGATGGCAGAGGAGTAGGAGAACTTAATTTTTGTCTGGTCCCAGGAATTCAGCTAGATAGCTACTAAATCATTCTGAACACCTCTGAACTCAACCAGAGACGTAAGAAGAGAATTGCGGCAATTTTACAAATAGAAAAGCGACCACTTTCTGCAAGAATGACAAGATGGAAAAACTCACCTCAAAAAAGAGAACAAGAGGCAGTACTGACTGCCAGGGACCTAAATCAGTATGGACATAAGTGAGATGTCAGAACTAGACTTCAGAATAATGATTATAAAGATACTAGCTGGGCTTGAAAAAAGCATAGAAGACACTAAAAAATCCCTTTCTGGAGAAATAAAAGAACCAAAATCTAACCTAGTCGAAATCAAACAGGCTCTTAATGAAATGCAATAAAAAATGGAAGCTTTAATTGCTAGGATAAACGAGGCAGAAGAGAGAATTAGTGATATAGGAGACAAAATGATGGAGAATAAAGAAGCTGAGAAAAAGAGAGATAAACAATTGGAACATGAGGGGAGAATCTGAGAGATAAGCAATACCAAGGAGCAATACAATATTAGAATAAATGGGATCCCAGAAAAAGATGGGGGCGGGGCAAAAGGTATATTGGAACAAATTATAGCTGAGAACTTCCCTAATCTGGGGAAGGAAACAGACATTCAAGTCCAGGAGGCACAGAGAATACCCCTCTAAATCAACAAAAATGGGTCAACACCCCAACATATAGTAGTGAACCTTGCAAAACTCAGAGACAAAGAGAAAATCCTGAAAGGAGCTAGGGATAAGAGGTCCATAATCTTCAAGGGTAGAGCACTGGGTGTTATACACAACTAATGAATCACTGAACACTACATCAAAAACTAATGATGTACTATACAGTGGCTAATTGAACATAATTAAAAAAACTAATGACAAACCCAAATTAAAATTAAAAAAAAAAACCTAC